CAAAAGGTAGTCGGGAGAGCAGAGTCGTATAGAAGAGAAACAACCGTTTCAATGAGATGACGGTGTTTCCGTTCAGCGACCCCATTTTGCTCAGGAGTGTAGGGACAAGAGGTGTGATGAAGGACTCCTAAAGTTTGAAGGAAAAGGCCAAAAGCGTTATTTACAAATTCTTTGCCATTATCACTTCGAAAAATTTTGATGTGAGAATTAAACTGAGTTTTAATCATTTTTTCAAAATTCACAAAAACAGAGTAAGCTTCAGATTTATGTTTTAGGGGATAAATCCAGGTAAATTTGCTGAAATCATCAACAAAAGAGATATAAAATCGAAAACCGCTACAGGAAGGAACAGAGGTGGGACCCCAAACATCAGAATGTATTAATTGAAAGGGCGCTATGGCCTTATGTTCAGACAATTCAAAAGGTAAACGACAGGACTTAGAGACATAACATGATTAACAATGTAAAGGCTTCGAAAACTGAAAACCTAAGGAATACAAAATAGATTTGGCAATCGCAGGAGCTGGATGACCAAGTCTACGATGCCAAGTGGACTCTTGGATAGCTTGATACGCAACGGTTGGGAGTTTGGAAGGAAGTGTGTATAACCCATGCTCACAGAGGCCCTTGTACCACACCTGGTTGGTAGGATTGTCCACTATCTGAAAATCATTGGCATTGAAAACAAGAGTGCAGTTGTTATCTTTGGTAAATCGATGGACAGACAATAGATTGGAGGTAAGGGAAGGGACATAATGAAGAGTAGAAAGGTGGTATTTACCATTAGGAGTATGGACAAAACCTGAGCCAGAGTGTGTGATTGGTAGGGATTGACCATTGCCTACGGTAATAGCATCAGTACCGGTGTATTGATGAGGAGATTGTAGCTAAGAATAATCAGACGTGACATGGGTGTTGGCACCAGTGTCGAGATACCAGTTTCCAGAATGATTACTCGTAGATGCATGCATTGCACGGGGAGAACTGGAGGAGGAGTTCGCAGTATAAGAATCATCAAATCGATACTAGCACGCAAACGCAGAGTGACCTCGTTTCTCGCGGATTTGGCAGGTTGGCAGATCCCGTGACGGTCGACCGTTTCCCTGGGACGGTCGACCGTTGTTCCTTTCTCCACGTCCGCTGTTGTATCCACGTCCAGGTGACGGTCGACCGCGGTAGCCTCCTCTACCGCGACCTCGAACGTTCGTAGCGAGAAGTGCTGTGCGAGGTTCGGTGATGGTAGACTCGGTGAGGCTGAGTTTATTCTCCATCTCCAGGTTTATTTCTTCGGAGATCAGCCATCGAGAAAGCTGATTTAACGAAATATTGGTATTGTTCATGCGAATGTTTTGCTTAAAGGATGAGTATTCGGTGGGAAGACCACGAATAACAGCATTCACCACATCACGTTCAGGGATCTCTTCTTTCAAGGCATCAAGATCCGAGAGAATAGTTGCCACATCATCAAGGTATTGTGTCATAGTTTTCGTACCTTTACGAAGAGTGTGGAGTTTGTCCCGAAGCTGATAAACATGAGCGGTGGACACGGAGTTGTACCGTGCGGCCAAAGCATCCCAAAGGGCAGCAGATGTGGTGAAGCCGCGAGCATGTTTGTGAATGGAGGGGCTGATGACCGCTAGGAGGCAGGCGCGGATCTGTGTGTCAACGATGGTCCAAGAGGTATACTCTGGATTAGGGACGGTTTTATCGTTTTTAGAGATAGTTGGCGCCGGGGCTGCTTCATGACCATCAATCCATCCAAGGAGGAGATTAGCTGAAAGAGCTGTCTGGACATTGAGAGACCATGCCGGATAATTTGTTTCGGTGAGTTTTTCTGGGATTAAGTTGTGGAGACTCCGAAGCAAAAGTTTTACTCCGGAGGGTAAGGACGCCAAAGGATCCGACGGGGCTGCCATGGTGGGCGGCGGTCGGAAAAAAAGAGAGGCTAGGTTNCCGGGGCTGCTTCATGACCATCAATCCATCCAAGGAGGAGATTAGCTGAAAGAGCTGTCTGGACATTGAGAGACCATGCCGGATAATTTGTTTCGGTGAGTTTTTCTGGGATTAAGTTGTGGAGACTCCGAAGCAAAAGTTTTACTCCGGAGGGTAAGGACGCCAAAGGATCCGACGGGGCTGCCATGGTGGGCGGCGGTCGGAAAAAAAGAGAGGCTAGGTTTTTGAGAGCCTTAACTCTGATACCATGATACAATTTGATAATAACTTGTCTTATTGAATATTGATAGATATGGCCGTATATATAGGGAATACAAGAGTAATCAAAGTACAAGTAGGAAAGGAAAGAATAATCCTAGTAGGAAAGGAAAGAAGTATCCTAATTTAATTATACTTCCTAGTACTTGGGAATTAACATATCATTTCAATTCTCACATTTTAATTCCAAAATTTAAATTCTAGAATATCAAATGACAATGGATCGGAGGTATATGGATTTCTAATTAAGTTTTATTATAAATTACATAAATTTGTTCAAATTCAAACCCAAATTTTTTGAGAATCCCAAATGTGAAATTCAACTCAAGCCAAATTTGAATTTGAAATCCATATTCAAGTTTTCAAACATGTCATTAGATCAATTTTCTAAGAAATCAATAGGTGTGTGATCCACTCCTAGCATGTAATAAATTTATTGATTTGAGGTGGTCAGGTAATGGAGGGATTTGGCGTGTGCAATGTGCTAAAATCAAGCGACCCAGCATTCAAGGAGGGAGACTACGTTTGGGGTGTTACAGGGTGGGAAGAATACAGCTTGATTCAGAATCCTGCAACCAGCATCTTGTTCAAGATCACAGCTGACCAACCCGATGTGCCCTTATCTTATTACACTGGCATTCTAGGTAAATACCTATTCCATCCCGGCCTTCAATTGAAACATACTACTCTACTCCATTACAAAATACTCTCTTCGTCTGATATTTTACTTTTCATCTAACTTTTCACAAAATTTTAAGGAAAAATTACCCAAAATAATCCCAACTTTACCCGGTCTTTCAAAAATAATCTCATCTTTCACTGTGATGCATAATAATCCCAACTTTACTGAAATTTGCCAATTTTGGGTCGCCGTTAAATTTCTAACGGAGGGTTAACGGAAATGCCCGTTTTAGACAACAAAATGAAAGTTGGGATTATTTTTGATGAAATTTTGTTTTCTAATTTTTTTTGAAATTTTTATTTAAATTTTTTGAATTACTTTCAACCTCCATTTCTTTTTCTTTTTTAAAGATTATTCTTACCTTTGAAAAAAATAGATATAAAAAATAATGAAAATGAGAAAAATAACTAAAACCATACAAAATTAATAAAATAAATAATGTAATCAATAGAAATTAAACAGAAACTGGTAAGAAATAAAATAAATATATACGGAGTGGTGGGTTTTAACATTTTACACACTATACGGAGTCTTAATGTACTACTTATTTTTTAAAAGCACAAGCCGTCCAGTAAAGTTGGAATTATTGTAGATAATTTTTTCTAAAAAATAAGAAGTGATATGTTAATACTTTGTATAATGCGTAAAATATTAAAACCCACCCGTATATTTTTATTTTACTTTTACCAATTTCAAGTTAGTTTCCATTGATTACCTTATTTATTTTATTATTTTTGTACCATTTTAGTTACATTTCTCATTTTTTTCATTTTTTATATCTATTATTTTTCTTTTTTAAACTAAGGCTAATCTTTAAAAAAGAAAAAAAGAAATGATGATGGAGGTAGAAAGTAATTTAAAAAATTTAAATGAAAAATTTAAAAAAATAAAAAAATGAAAATTCATCAAAAATAATCCCAACTTTCATTTTGTTGCCTAAAACAGGCATTTCCGTTAACCCTCCGTTAGAAACTTAACGGCAACCCAAAACTCGCAAATTTCATTAAAGTTGGGATTATTATGCATCACAGTGAAAGGTCGGATTATTTTTGAAAGACCGGATAAAGTTGGAATTATTTTGGGTAATTTTTCCAAATTTTAATATAACACTTTGACTATTAATATTTTATTTATATATTAACATAAATTACATATATATATATATATATATATATATATATATATATATCATATTTTAAAATTATGTTTCAAAATTAATATATTGATATTAAATATTTACTTCCTCCGTCCTGGAAAACATTTCTAGATTTGAGTTTTTGGTGTTTTAAGAGAAGTATTTTTTGTGTTGATTTTCCAATTTTACCCTTAAGTTTTTTTTGAAAAAAGAGATGTTTAAAATTATGAATAGTGATTAATAATGTGAAAGAGTAATTAAAAAATAAAAAGTAATATGAGATGTGATGGATGTGATGTGGGAAAGTAGAGTTAAACAGGGGTATTGTAGTCCATTTTGGAGAAATTTAAATGTTTTATGAGACGACTAAGATGAAAAGGTTGAATTATTTTGTGTGAGGGTGGGAGTATATAACAATTCAATTTTTTTCCTCCGTAAAAAGAAAAATATGAGACAGAGGTCACGGAGGGAGTTAAAGCTTTACCTCTCATGGAAGATTTTACATTCAAACACACCTTTATTTATTTATTTTTTAATTACGTGATAACGAGGTTCGAAGGTTTAATTTCGAATTCAGTAAAACTTTGAAATTACCAACTTAACCTAAGGGTTGAACTTGTTTTAGGTTGTAATACCATTTTTATTTAAATAACAAGTCAAATTGAGGTAATGAAAACAAAGATGCTAAGTATACCTTGAATGAAAATCAAGATGTAACCCGATGAAAATGAAATTGGAGACAACTAAGGTCGTGTTCTTTTGAGTCGGAAATATTAACTTCCAACTCCTTTCAACTGCTTGCAATTTCTTCCAATAACGACTTTAAAAAGTTTTTATATATGATTAATATAAAATAATATTATACTCCTTCCGTCTCTAAATAAAGTTCCATTTTTGACTTTTTGAGGATTTAAGGTAGGGATATTTTGGTGTTGACTTTCCAAAAATAACCTTGATGTGATGTGTTAAAGTAAGATGTGATAGGTAGATTATTAGTAAAAAGGTATGATGTGATAGGTAGGGTATGAAAAAGTAATGGGTAAAAGGGGTTTTTTAAAGGAAAAGAGAAGTTTATTTAGGGACAAAGAAAAAACGAAAGAGGAACTTTATTTAGGGACGGAGGGAGTAGATCCAAATTTATAATATATCACCTCTAACATGGATAATGATGCTTTTTTTTATCCAGAATTAGAGTTTTCTTACATATTTATTTGGATGATCATTTAATTGAGTGATTTTTTAACACTTAAATTTTTCTAACATTTTTCAACTCTTTTTAATTTTTTCAACTCCTTTCAATATTTTCCAACTCCTTCTAGTTTTTCTAATTTTTAACAAAGAAATTTTAACCCAAAAGAACATGGCTTAATTAATGTGCAAGACTTTGAGACCGTGTGAGGAAATAAATCAAATGGTAATCACTAATCAAAAGACCAAAAAATGTGTTATATCTATAGGAGAGGATGTGTTTGGTTGGAGAAAAACATATTTTCCAAAAAAACAAAGATGTGTTGGAATGAAAAAATATACTCCGTATTTTATTGGAAATCATTTTTTCCTTGGAAAATATCCGTATAGAAAATTATTTCCTTCCCAACCAAGCACACGCCCTTTTTTTATCCAACCAAACACACCCATAGTTTCAAGTATACTTTAATTTCCTATCTCGATATATTGCAGGTATGGTAGGACTTACCGCCTATGTAGGGATCTTCAACGTCTGCCGCCCCAAGGAAGGGGAAGTCGTTTATGTTTCAACGGCCGCCGGAGGAACCGGCATGCTCGCCGGACAGTTTGCCAAAATGTTGGGTGCTTATGTGGTCGGAAGCACGAGCACTAACGAAAAAGTTGATATTTTATTGAACAAATTGGGATTTGACGACGCTTTCAATTATAAACAAGAACCTAATTTTGCTGCTGCTCTAAAACGGTAATTAGTTAAATACTCCTGTTTCACAAAATACTTCTATTCTAAGCTCATAAAACATTTCTACTCCATTTAATATCTCTAAAATACCCTTATAAAACAACATCTACCCACAAAAAAACTACGTAATGGAGATGTATTTTAGACATTTTAAGTGAGAGAGAAGTGTTTCGGGGAATGCGCAAAAAAGTTAAGACAGAACTATTTTGTGAAATAGAGGGAGTACTCTTTTTGTCGCACATAGTATTTCTCCTTTTCTTTTTTAAAAATTTGCTTTATAGAAAACTAAAAGATGAGCAATGCTAGGTTAACAAACAAAAAACTCTCAATATTCACAAACTTACTATTTAAAATTTAAATTCAAATTTTAAAATTCTTTTATACTACTTTATTTTTGATGTTCACAAATAATAAGTTTGTGAATTTTGTGACCATTTTGTTTGTGAACTAAACATTTCTCATAAAAGATAATACATTTGCCTAGAACTAAATATGTTTTATTTTCTTTATGACACATATTTTCGTATGATCTGCCGCCATATATGTCCTCATTAGCAACAAATGTTGGATAATGCATACTGATTATACAAATGACTCTACAATGTGGTCATTAGCAGCAAGTGTTGGATAATGGGATGGTGCTTATATATATGCATGCAGGTGTTGCCCAAAGGGAATTGACGTGTACTTCGACAACGTGGGTGGCCCGATGTTAGACGAGGTAATCGGGCACATGAATCTGCACGGCAGAATCGGCATTTGTGGAATGATATCTCAATATTCTCTAAAGGAACCCGACGGCATTCGCAACTTGTTTCGGGTAATCACAAAGTGCTTGAGGGTTGAAGGATTCACGGAAATTGACAATTGGCATCTGGTTCCAACGTACACAAAGTGGGTGCTTGAAAAGTTGAAGGAGAAGAAGTTGGTGTACATAGAAG